TTTCCCTACCATAGACTTGAAATTTTACTATTTTATCACTTCAGGAGTAGGCATTGAAAGCTTTATGCCCAAGACGATGGAATAAACATGGGATTCAAGTCTATATCCATCTGTTTTATTATCAAGAGACTAAGGAAGTATTTGTAACTCCTCTTTATTTTTATTTTTTTATTATTTTTTTGCGGTACGCGGGCCTCTCACTGTTGTGGCCTCTCCCGTTGCGGAGCACAGGCTCCGTACGCGCAGGCTCAGCGGCCATGGCTCACGGGCCCAGCCGCTCCGCGGCATGTGGGACACTCCCGGACCAGGGCACGAACCCGTGTCCCCTGCATCGGCAGGCGGACTCTCAACCACTGCGCCACCAGGGTAGCCCCCCTCTTTATTTTTGTTTTTACATTTTTTTGATGTGCTGTCTTAACCATCCAGATGCAGGAGATGGGCCAGATACATTATTTGGTGTCATTTGGGTGTTCTGATTCCACAGATGTGTCTAGTTTGGAAGCTGTTGATATAAGTTTTCTTTTTAAGAAAACAAATCTCATCTTGAAACTCTTTAAACCTGGTAGAAAAACATTCACAGCGAAAAATCTTTCTTGTACTAAGTTCAACTAAGTTTAATCATTTAAAGGAAAACATGTTTTACTACTGCCTAAGTAGAGTCTAGTCATGTGACTCACAGTTTAAATATATCCAGAGCTCCCTGTGTTCACCTCCCAGGGCAACTGATTTTTCTGACCGCTCTTGATTCCAACCCTGTTTTCCCCAGACGTGTCTGGCTCACTCAGCTTCAGTGAGTGTAACTGCCAAAGCCTCTGTTCTTTCCACTCTGAGAGTGCATTTAAAATCAGCTACATTTGGGGACCTGGCTTCCATCTACTTGTGCTAAAAACCCAGACTACTTTTATTAGAAGCGTCCCATGACAAGCAAACAACCTGAGTCTTCCCACGTGACCAATGCCACCTAAGATCATCTCTAGAAAGAAACAATAATCTCTTTGTCCCAAAGGGCTGGCAAAGTCCCAGGAATATTGGGACCTTGAAAATGGGGTCTGATCCCTCTTAGGGAAGCAGCCATACTGGCAGCCACACTTCTCCAGCTAAAGGACTTCTTTATGCAGTGACTGGGGTGGTGGCTGGTGAGGGCGGTGGAAGATGAGGCCCAGGGTGGGCGCTGTCTGCTTCAACTCTTGGAAAAGAAGAACATCCTGCAATGAATACATTAAACTTTGCGAGAGAACTACAGTTGTTGATACTTTTGGCAGGAGATGTGTCCTGAGTGACGTTTCCCTTGGCAACAGGACTAGCCTGGCATCTGGAGATGAAGCAGGTCCTTTCCTTACCACAGCCTGAGGACCACCCTCATTGCAGTGGGCGGGCAACCCCTGCCCCCCTTGTAAAGCCCCACTCAAGTGCCCTTCCTCAGGAACCCTCTAGATCTCTCTGCTCAGAACCTCTATGATTTCCCACCATCCCTGACCCCTCACTAGCTATTACATAGGAGACAGATACTGTATAGGTGCCTGTCATTATGAATATGCAGGAGGATAGTGTTTGTATTCAGATGAGAAAAGAGATAGCATTTGAAATGTAGGCAAGCCATGTTTCTATTTTTAATGCTTAATCCGTAACTTGAGAGAGAGCCACAGTGCTATCAATTATTGCTGACACCTTCATACCTTTTGAGAGCAGTATCTCATATAATTGCTATTGTCTTCTTGCAAAGCTCCAAGCTTTTGCATTTGGTTTCATGGCTTCACCACTGAGAGGGGTGGGAGAAGTCGTAAAGGAGAGTCAACACCATTCATTAAGGACTATTAATGAGTTACAGAACTCCTTTGCAAGATTTATTCAGAAAGAACATAACTTGGACTTCCCTGGTGGCGCAGTGGTTAAGAATCCGCCTGCCAATGCAGGGTACATGGGTTCGATCCCTGGTCCAGGAAGATCCCACATGCTGCGGAGCAACTAAGCCCGTGCACCACAATTACTGAGCCTGAGCTCTAGGCCCTGTGTGCCGCAACTACTGAGCCTAGAGCCCATGCTCCGCAGCAAGAGAAGCCACCGCAATGAGATGCCCCCGCTCGCCACTACTATAGGAAGCCCGCATGCAGCAACAAAGACCCAATGCAGCCAAAAATAAAAAAATTTTTTTTTAAAGAAAAGAAATAACATATCTTAAGTCCTCAGAGTTGGCATGTTTACATCATGATTGATTTGGCCCATTCTATAACATTGTAAAAGATTCTCACCCTATGCAGTAAAACATGGATGACTTATACCCCGTTTGAACAAAAGATGGAAAGTGGGATTTGTGATGCAGACTTTCCATTAGCTGACCAGTTCTCACTGCTTAGAGAAACATCTATGGGCTTCTGGTTCAAAATGACAGATCAGGCAGAGTTTGCTTCTCTTGTTACTTGAGACCCCCCCTAAAATTAAGATATTGAAGTTTAAAAAGGGAAGTTCAGAAAAGAAAAAAGGGACGGGGAAGGAGCTGTAAAGGGGAGAGAAAATCACAAATGAGAGATTTCAACACACTTCTGAAAGGTGGAAAGCTGACACTAGAGAGCTGCCAGATGAAACAGGAAGAAAAATTACAACCTAAGCTATGATGTCAGGGGCTGGAGAGGAAACGGGAGTCAGCCTTCTGACAGATGAGGCTCTGGGACTCTTCCTACGGACAGTGCGTCATCCCCCACCCCATTCACGCGTAAGGAGAAAGGACCAGGTCGCTGGTGTGGTTTACTCTGCTACTGTGTGAATAAGTCCTCTACCTGCTGAGTTTTTCCTTGGAGCGGGGATCTGTGTGTGGGCAGGGTGTTTGCTGGCCGCTCTGGAGTTGTGTTCCTCCAGGTTCAGGTGCTCACACCTGCCCACTGATCTGTGGTGATGGCTTGTGTGGAAAGACTGTCCTTCCCAGGGGCTGTGGACAGGGCAGGCATCGTGAGTGTGCAGTACAGTATCCATGGCTGCTGGCCTTGAAGAACCCGTTCTCTTCTCCTTGCAGAGCCGCTGCACAGAAGCCATAGGCTGTGTTCTTTCCATGAACCCACAGTTTTGAGTTGGAGATTTGGAGGCTACTCAAAGCATACTCAGATTCCAGGCTTTGTTAGGGTTATTTATCACCCCGAGGAAATGGCGTAGCAGGAGGGGAGAGGGGAGAGGGCAATGGTGAGGAGGGGGCAATGAAGCCTGTGCACACGTAGCCATTAACATGCTCTGTTTATCACAGAAGTTAACCTTTGCGATACCACTGGCTAAAAAAGAGTGTGTAACATACATGAAATGTCGAACTTTAAGCTCAAACATCCTCACCATGAATGGCAACTCTGCAATGTGGAAACTGCCCTGTTTGGATGGTCAGTTCTGCACAGAAACAGCCTATGGTTCCAGAGAGCTGGGAAGATGCTCAAAGCCCCACTTCTCGCTGGAGACCTAAGAATTAACTAGTGAGATAATCAGCTGAAAGTACAGAGGTCTCCGCTTGAAGCTCAGGTTAAATGTTAAGTCTCTTGACTCTTTTGTTCGCAGCTCTTTAACTTGTAAAGTGGAGTTAAAGTCCTAGCCTGCTCACAGCTGTTCCTGATGAATGCCTGTGAGCTGTTTGCACAAGTCCTCCTGCTGGGAAGGATCTCTTGTCCTCTGGAATGTACCTTCTTCCTCTGTGCCATCAACTACCGTTTCCTGAGAAGCTGCCCTGGTTCCCTTACAGGCTGTAACTCATTGAAGGAGCGCTCAACACATCCTTCTGATGTGGATATCAACTTCCTCCATTTTACAGATGCAAAGCTGAGGCTCAGGAGAGCGGGGGAACTACCTAAGTTCTCAAAGCTAGTAAGTAGCAGAGCTGGGACTCAAACCCAGGGTCTTTTCATTACACTAGCTATGCCCAGATAAATGAGAAACCTAGTAGAATAGACAAACTGACCTCTGAGTATAAGGAACTACCACCCTGGTACCCAGGGCTTTGCAGGTAG